CGGCGGGTTCTGTTCAACAGGGCCTTTGTGTGGTGGCCCCCTCCTCCCAGCCTCTGCTGGTACCATCCTGTCCCCGGGCAGCTGAAGCCCAGCCCAGGAGTGACAAAGCTGTGGCACGGCCCAGTGTGTTGGCCGGGCCACAGCCAGGCCTCCGAGGCTTGGAGATCCTTGGCTGGGGCCCAGCTGAGGCTGGGCGTGTGGCTTCCCCGGGGCTGAGTCCGAGAGCTAAGGCCCAGCCTCGTGGACGTGGGTCTGCAGCGTGTCCCCACTGCAGGGCTCTGCGGCAAAACCGTGTGCTCACGGCTGCCCACACACGTGAGCACAAACCCAGGGACTTCCCAGGCCTGCACACGAGCCCACGCGCCGCCTGGCACCTGCCTGACTCCCCGACCTTGACACCACCTCTCCCTCCTTCACTACTCTCTAGTCCCTCTGACCGCTGGCTCTTCCTCAGCCACGTCAGACTCACATGCACCCCAGGACCTTTGCACCACATTTCTCTGTTGAATAGTCTTCCTGAGATCTCCACGTCCATGTCTCAGCCCCTTGGAGACGACCTCCCAGGCCACCGTAACTAGAGTCGCCCCGCCCTCCGCTCCTCTCTTCCCACCCTGCTCATTTCTGTTGTACCTCATCTACTCTCCGACGGATCCGGGCAGTGTTTGCTTATTGGTGATCTGTCTCATGGGGACAGGGACCAGACCTGTCCCAACCCCTCAGGTCCAGGCACCCAGGAGTGGACCCCTCAGGTCCAGGCACCCAGGAGTGATGCCCAGCAAGCGTATGTCGTTAGGATCCATAGACGGCGATTTTGAAAATGGATGACAATATAGAAAAGGAGCCGGAAGAACAGCGCCCCCAGGTGCAGACCAGCCGCTATGGCCGCGAATGTGTGACCATCTCAGGGCAGAAAGAGTGGCCTTGTTCTTGGCCTTCAGATACAGGAGTCACAAGAGCCACTTCTCCACCGACAGATTGAAGTCACAGGCACCTGGTGCCGAGTGGAGCAGACCCCGGGGCAGAGACCCGAGCCCTCCCCATCCCGCTCCTGAGGGGAACCTGAGGCTCGTCCCTCTTACTGCCCCATCGTGGTGGGGACAAGAGCTGGGTGGCATGGCCGAGGCCCAGACCCCAAGCCCAGAATCACTCACCCTCTTTGTGCCTCAGTTTCTTCAACCGTGACGTGGAGGTGTGTGCCACCTGCTTTGGGGGTTGTTATGAGGATCAAGTGAGTGAATATCAGCAGAGACTTAGCAGAGTGCCCGGCACTGAGGAAGCACTATGTTGTGTGATGAATCAAATGGGTAATAATAATTTTATTCAGTGCTGAGTATGTACAGGGACTCTTTTTACCTGTACTTGTTCACGATCACTTAAAGAAACCAAGGAACAGAGATGGTAAGCCGCCTGCCCAGTGTCACCCAGCTGGTAAACGCGGCGATGAATGCAGGGTCCCACAGGCGCATACAGGACTCTTTGTTCTCCTTCCTTTAATCCGAGTCACTGGTCTTGCTTCCTAAGATTCTTATTCAGGGCTGTAGAGGCACAGCGGAGGCTGCTGTTTTACGAGCCTCTTAAGGGAGTTTGAGGACCCCAGGAGAGTCGATTTCACACCCTGAACTTGAGCCGCAGCGGCCTGCTCGTAAGAGGTGGCCCTGCGTGGAGAGGAGGCCCGGGAAGAGGATCTGGACGAAGTAGGAAGGGGGAGGGGGCCTCACCACGCTAACCCAGCCTCCCTCCCTCCCGTCCTGCAGGTGGCCCTCGGTCTTGTCATCCTTGGGGCCACCAAGGAACACAGTTGACCTCTGCACTGGGTGATTCTGAGTCCTGCCATTTCCCGCATCTGGTGACTCGGTGCTGCACGGGGCTCTTCCCGGGTCCTTGGCCACTTCTCTGGGCACTCTATGCATCAGTTCTCTCTCTCAGCAGCGTCAGGACAGCACTGCTGTCCCCAGTTTACAGGTTCGGGAGTCAGGCACAGAGAGGCCTCGCGGCCTGCCCAGGGCGGCTCAGGCAGGGAGGAGCCCGCCGAGAAGCACCCTGACTCTGGAGGCTTCTCTCCACTTTTGGCCGTGCTGCCCCTGACTTGGCTCTCTCTGGTTCCTGGCACCCCTGGGGACATCCTGGGGACATCCCTGGGGTGTGCGTTTCCTAGGAAACAGAGCTTCCGATTCCAGAGGAATGGGAAAGGGAAGGTGAAGTCCCTTAGTGTCCCCAGCAGAGCCCCAGGAGCTGCCCAAAGTCCCTCCTGCGAGGAGCTGCGCCCAGGACCTGGGGGCTGCTGGGCCGATGGCAGGAGGCCCGGCTCTCGGAGGCCAAGAGGCGGGGGCCCTGGGCGTCATCCTGAGCAGGCGCATTGACATTCCCTGCCACCTCCCTCTCCGTCTAACTGCATGTGCCCGGCTGGGCCAGCGCTGCGGCCTATGGGAAAAGCCAGTGGCCCCACAGTTCCTCGCAGTGTCCCCAGGCCAGGGAGGCCCGTCCTGGGCTATGGGCTAGTGCAGGTGGAGCAGAAACACCCCGATTCTGCAAGGACCTTTCCACAGTGAAAACATTTTTAGCCTTTATTATTCATGCATTGAAGGTAAGCTGAAAGTCACGTTGTACAACCAAGTGTAGTGTTTTATTCATGTAAATAGAGCAACGTGTTTTACTTACAACGTGTTCTAGAAGCCATCATGAAGTCTGAAATTCTGAATAAACGGTGAATCTTCTATTAAACATGAAAGAAAATGGGCCAGGTTTCTTTGGCAAAACAATGTGAATTGGTAGCAGAGGATCCTGGGTTGATAGAAGGACTATGGCAGGAATGCATTTGATTTTAAATGTTAGGGCTTCATCCAACTCTGCCCTTGATCAGTTCCTAAACCTATACTTCTGCCGTTTTTGAGGAGAAAACAAGCTACAGGAGAGCCATGGAGCTGCGTTGTGATCTCATGTGGCACCACCAGGGGGCAGTGCGCAGCAGCACTGGCCCTAGCTCTCAGTCCCGCAGGCGGCGCAGCATGGCTAGAGAGTGGCTCAGGGGACTGTAGGGGGTTTTCTTCCCTTCCTTCCCTGGCCTGGAGGACTGCGGTCAGCTCTGGGTGCTGCTCTTAATTAAGAGATAAAGTGACAAAGTAGTGTGTCCAGAGGAAGTGGGGTGTGGGGAGCTTTGCAGAAGCATGTCAGCTCATGAATCGGATGTGGATCTCAGTCACCATTTGGGGGATGGACCGTGGGCAGGTAATCACAACACCTTTCCAGGCTCGGATTCCCCACCACCACCCTCTCCCCATAAAACAGGGACGATAAAATCCACCGTACAGGATGGCTGGGACGAGTCAGCAGGTAACGCAGCAGGTGCTGGCCCCAGAAAGCCTCCGTCATGACAATTCTTATGACGGGAAACAGTAGTACAACGCCAATAATGTTAGTATTTACATTAGCATTGTAACAGGCATCCTTATTATGGATCATAAATATCTTTATTCTTAATGATCATTGACTGTGTTGCTTTTGACATATGTTCATTTGTTCCATATTATATGTGATATTTAGTATATCGTATATATAATACTTCGGTACATATCAACATATGATCATATAATAATTACAACAATAATGAATATTTTGCATAGCAATTGTTGAGATTTTGTTAATTGATCACCATCGTTGGAGGAGTGAGACTCGTGGGGAAGGGTCTGATCTTCTCACTCCCGCTCAAGTTGGCGCCTCGGGGTGCTACAGCCTATGGAGACAGAATTTCTGATTCTAACCAAATGGGTCACGGGGACCCTGAGTTCCAGCCCCTGGCTGGTAGGGTGTGAAGTCTGGGAGGCCAAGCAGCTGGCTCCGATGGTGCCCTTGGCCATGCCCCCGCCCCTCTGCCCCGGGTCTCCGTCTGCACAGGGGCAGCGCTGTCCCTGCGGCAACGCCCCGACCCCCCGGGCAGCCGGGTGGGCTGGTGTGAAGGCTGTGCCCACCCGCAGGAGTCGGGGCTGTCGGCGTGGATCGGGGGGCAGCTGCACCCGCTGCAGAACGTGCCCCCGGTGCTGGCCGTGCTGCTCGTCACCGTGGTCATCGCCTTCTTCACCGAGTTCGCCAGCAACACGGCCACCATCGTCATCTTCCTGCCCATCCTGGCGGAGCTGGTGAGGGTCCCTGGGGCCGAGGGGGGGGGGCACGCCTTCCCGGGGCAGGGAAACCCCTCCCTGCGACAGAGCCCTCCTAGGGACCCTGGTGTCACTTCTGTCTTCCGAAATGCGGGGAAGTGTCAGAACCACGGTGTCATTTAAAAGATAGGGTTTTTTTTTGCTTCAAGAAATGCATAAATATGAGTTAATATGTTCAGAGTGAAAAACAAACAAACCAGAAACGCCCTCGTTGGGGAAAATGAACCTGCAGTGACATGGAGAGTTTTCTGAGAAGATATAAATTTCCAAAGTTGGATGATGTGGAAAATCTGAGATTCTAAGAACAGGCAAAGCTGTAGCCCCTCTCAAAAGCAGGCCTTTCCACTGTTGAGAACTTGGGCCAGAGAATTCTCTGCGGTGGGTGGGCTGTCCTGTGGGCTGTGGGGGTGTTGAGCATCATCCCTAGCTTCGACCCTGGGGGGATCATCACACTGATTGAGAACCTCTGCTCTAAAATCACCAGCCCCCGGGGCGGGGGGGTGGAGTCTCATCAGGGACCCGCTGGAGCCATTTATCCAGAATCTACCTTTGCTGGTGAGAGGGGGCAAGTCTTCAAGGAGCAGAGAGTTCCCACCTCACCCAGCTGGTCCCCAGCACAGAAAGAGAGAGGGCCTGATGCCAAATCCAGACAGAGAGGAGAGGGGGAGAGAGAAGGGAAAAGAGAGAGAATCCAATCTCACGGGAACAAAGATGCAAATACTGAAGCGAAGTGAGTCCAGGATCATATGCAAACAACAAGAATAGTCACGATCAGGTAGATGGTCTTCTAAGAATCTGTACCAGGGTTAGCCTCAGGAAACCATCCATGAGGTGTTACACTTAAACAGATTAAAGAAGACCACGCCATACGACTGTTTCAATATGATCCCAAACTGACCAAATCAATGTGGCGATCACGTACGGTGTCTAAGCCTGGAGTGCCAGTGGTGGCACACAAGCCCTCTTGCCTGCTCTGTCTGGTTTGGGTTTTAGTTTGCTTATTTTATGTATCAATTTGCAGACAAGTCACACTGAATCAGCACAGAGCTATAACGTGTGCTTTTTCAACCACTGGGGGATATTCCGTTCTAAATGGACAGTTGCTGATGAGTTCAAGCAATCTTGGGCTCTTGATCATATGGGTGACTCCAGGCTGCTATTACCCAACAAGGCTGCCTTGATCTTGCCGGGTCTGTGCATCCTTGATTGCTTTTGGAGAAAAGGCCTACAGCTGCGATTCTTGGATCAAAGAGCCTGTGCATTTAAAAGGTTAGGTTTGAGCAAATTGCTCTTCAAAGCGACTCCCAGCTTACCCTCCCACCAGCAGTGTGGGGTGGCACCCCTCACACCCTCAGTCAGACCCTTTCCCAGGATCTCAGGGACCTGGCAGTAGGGGTGCTGTGGGGGGGGGTGGAGAGGAGGGAGCCTAGAGCCTGCTCTTGCTGGAAAGCCTCTGCAGGACACATTCTCTTCTCATCAGATCCACAGAGGGCGGTGTCAGAGCTTCCCCAGAATTTTCCAGGCTTCTGGTTGCAGAAACTCCTTAGAGGGGCCCCGATGTCCTATCTTAAGTAAAATGGCAGAGATTGACCGACATGAATTGCTGGTGAATCTGTCATGTAGCAGAGGTGACGCGCTGGTGACTGTTGCCTGAGGTCAACCCACAGACAGCTTACTCCACAAGGCTTAGAATGTGGGGATGCTTGCAATGATGCAGCCCGAGCTCTCCTTGTTACTGAAACGCAGCCAGCCCCGACACAGGTGCCCGGGGGGAGGACCAGGTGTGGAGCGTTATGTCAGGGCCCTGGTTCTCAGTCCCTGTGTGGTCCCTGGAAGCGGCAGCAGCAGCATCACTGGAGAAACTGCTCAGACCTGTTGGATCAGCCCCTCTGGGGAGCAGGGCAGCCATCAAGCCCTGGGTAGTTCCGATGCTCGCTCCCATGAGACGGTCCTGGCTAAATCGGCCCCAGCTGCTCCCTAATGAAACAGCCCCGTGGCCCTGCGATGGCACTGACTGGGAACCTCTCTCCATCTCGTCCTGGTCTGCTGGCCCCTTCCTGCCTGTGTCTGTCTGTACTTCTGGCTGCATGTCTCGGTCTCTCTGTGTCCCTGTTCTCTGTCACTCTGCCCATCTCTGTGCCTCCGAGTCCTTCTCTTTCCAACTGTCTCTATCACTCATGTGGTTGCTCGGTGTCTGTCTGTGTCTTGGTCCCCTCCTGGCCCAGGCCATCCGCCTGAGAGTGAACCCGCTGTACCTGATGATCCCGGGCACGGTCGGCTGCTCCTACGCCTTCATGCTCCCCGTCTCCACGCCCCCCAACTCAATCGCCTTCGCCTCCGGACACCTGCTGGTCAAAGACATGGTGAGTCTGGGCATTCCTAGCCACAGCCTGGGAAGCAGAAGGAGGGGCACCGGGCACTGGGCAAAGCGTCCAGGCTGGACCCACGCCCTCCACCTGCCCCAGTCTCTGAACAGCTGTTCTGAATGAGGCTGGGGACAGGTTTCAGCAAACACTCTGGGCTAGGCCCACGCTTAGGCCATTCCAGCAAACACGCCTAGTGACTGCTCCCCACAGTTTGCTTCAGGGACGAGGGACCTGCCCCTCTCTCTGGGCACTGCTGTTTTCTTGGTTGTTTGACCAGCAGCTCCGTGCCCAGAATCTTTAGGAGAGAGGGCAGCAGACACGCTCTGGGACTTAGGGGGTGGCTTCAGTGCCCAGGAGTGAGACAAAGGAAGCAGAGGCCTGTGGGTGGCTGGGAGAGCTCAGCATCTGAGCAGGGCTTCCCGTCCCCTCTCCCCAGCTCTGGCCCAGACCCTCCCTCCCTCCCGCCTGCCACTCTCCCCCAGCAGCTCCTCCCTCCCCACTGGCTGCCTGGAGCATTTGTTCAGCGTCCTGAGCTGACACAGCCAAGAGGGGTGATCAGCGTCAGCAGGCAGGAGACCCCAGCAGGATAACTGGAGAGAGAGGGACCAAGGGTCAGAAGAAGAAAGAGCAGAGGAAGGGCTGGTGCATTCTGCGCTCTGACCACTGGGGGCAGCAGCGTGGCGAGGCCGGGAGACAGGTGGCAGAGCTTTTAGAACGTGAAATGTGAATATTGCTGAGCTCCAGAAAATGGACAGAACCCGGAACAGGGGACGGAAGAGATGAATTTGATGGGAGGGGAGGGATGGGATGCCTCTCAAGCAGGTGACAGTAGCTGAGACCTGATCTTGAGAGGCAGTCAGTCTTCCACAAAAAAGGGAGCAGAGCTCTCCAAGCAGAGGGTACCGCAAACCCCTGGGCATGCTCCAGAAGCACCCAGAAGGCTGCTGTGCCTGCGGCGGCGGAGACGATGGGCAGAGTGCGGGCACAGGCCTGGGTCGCTCTGTGGGGCTCCAGGCAGGACAGAGATGTCTTTAGAGGCGACTCTGCACTGAGTGGAGCGAATGTTAGGGCAGGAGGGATGTGTGGAGCAGAGGGGACACAGTGGGGGCAGACGCACAGGCTACAGGGCTCCAGAGAGCAAAGAGGCAGCCAGAGGAGCAGAGAGACCCAGGGACAGTGAGTGACCACCACAGACCGCCCACTCGTCTACAGCTGCCCAAGGGGACATCTTTGTCCCCATGGGATCCAAGCCTGGGTGACACTAAGGTGAAGCAAGCAGAAAACCAGATGGGAAAGCAGGCGTTTTCAACGCAGGAGACCCAGTGGCCCAGAGTCCAGGGGGAAGCGCAGGCAGGTCCTCTTCAGCTGCTCCAAGAAGTGGACTCTCCAGGGGGAAAATGCGTCTCCATAGACAAGTACAGCCTCCCCTGGACCTGCAGAGTGTGCACGCGTGTGTGTGTGTGTGCGTGCGTGTGTGTGCACGCGTGTGTGTGTGTGTGTGTGCGTGTGTGTGTGTGTGTATGTGTGTGTGCGCGCGAGTGGCCTGTGCTCATGTGTGTCTGTGGGGGAGGGGCATCACGATCAGACACGGCTGCTCTCGTGGCGGGACCTGGGCAGGCGACCTCCCTGGGCTCTGGGCGGGTGACTCCTGCTGGGATCTAGGTTTCCTCACCTGTACGTGGGTCTGTGCTGGCCCCTCCCTCAGCCTGGGCTCCATCTCAGGTCCGGACAGGTCTCCTGATGAACGTGATGGGCGTCCTGCTGCTCAGCGTGGCCATGAACACCTGGGCCCAGAGCATCTTCCAGCTGGGCACCTTCCCGGACTGGGCCCACAGCCACTCAGCCAACATCACAGAACCACTCACCTTGACCAACGACACCTTTCGGACCCTCTGAGCCTTCCTGGGGGTTTCCCTGTGGGCTGGGCCCTCCCAGAGGACTGTCACTATCACTTGCTGCTAGGACCCTGCAGGATGATCCAGCAGTTCTTTGTTGTCATCCAGTATGCAGCAGAGCAAGGATAACCTCCAGTGGTCCACTGGGGCCCACAGGTTCCTCTCTCATGCGGTTCAAGGCCCCAGACCTCCCAGGTCTGCGCCTGAGGGCAAGCTCTGGGAGCGTTCTGAGGCGGGATAGAGAGCCCACTTTAGCCACCTAACAGATCTAGAATGGGGTTTGTCCTGTACGTGGGGCGAGAGGCCCCCATGCCCTGGAGCAGCCTCCTCCCCAGTGGGCTGCTGGGGCCTCTCTGGGAGACCATCTCATCTCCAAGGTTCCCAGAGAGGCTTGGGGCTGCGCAGTTCTGGGCCCGATGCTTCCTGCCTGGGGTTCTGCCCGCTGGGGCCTGGTCTGGGACCGCTGTGTGGCTGCCACCCTGTGACACCCTCCAGTCCCTGGAGACGGGAGGAAGGGAGGGCCTGGGCAGGGTCCCTTGCTGTTTCCCCCAGCACAGCCGGGTCTCGGGAGCCCAGCGCCACGCTCCCGGGAGCTCCGCTTCTCCTCCTGGAATCCTTCAGCTTGGCCCTAATCTGGGGTCAGGCCAAGCAGCGGCCCTGCCCTCTCACAGGTGACCATGGCCGGCCAAGACCCTCCTGCAGGTGGCCCCGCGGGCCTCTGTGGCAGGGGGTCATCCCCCATTTCTTGTCCCAGGAACTGGTTGTCATCTCCCCGCCCTCCCGCCCCTGCCCCTCCCGGGTGGGGAGTGTGTTCATTCAGCAAAGATCGCATCTGGGTGGGGGAGAAAGTCTAAGGAACAATCAGGGCCTGGGGGTGGCCTGGGGGCGGTCTCAGGCAGGCACCTGGGGACCTTCCTGAGCAGGTGGCGGGGCTGGGCAGGCTTCCCCAGAGGCAGCCGCTGAGACACTGAGGGAGGGCAAGGAGGGCGGTGCATCGGCAGCCGCAGAGGCTGCCACCTCCTGCTTCCCCTTCCTGCTCCCTGAGCGGGGCTCCCTGCAGCACCGGGACACAGGGCTCCTGTCTACAGCTCAGTGAGTCAGAGGTGTTTCCCCAGGGGCAGGGCGGAGGCCCCTCGGAGCTGCAGACTGGGTTCCACTTCCTTCCTGGGAGCAGTCAGTGTGAACTACAGCTTCAGCCCACTAGGGTTGGGTGGCCCTGATCCCTAACATGGGACAGTGAGAGGCTCATGCACAGAGAAACCCATGGACTTGTCACCAGAGGAATCATGACTCAAATACTTATGATCAAAAATGCTACAAAATAAAGAATGTTAATCAACACTGGCTCTGGAGATCCTTTGCCTCTGTGAACACGAGAGAGCCACTGACCCCCAAATTCCTGGACTTCATGGTCGCCTATGGCTCCACTTGCTTCCTCTCCCCTCCTCGACTCCAAACACTCAAACTCTCCTACCTCAGGGCCTTTGCACATGCTGTCCCCCTACCTAGAACACTCTGTACCCAAATATACGCGTGGCTCCTGGCCTCACTTTATCCAGGTCCTAGGTCACCCTTGTTACTGTCCACCCTTACGCTGCCCTAATCATCCTCTTAGTTCTCAGGATGCCAAGTCATCGCCTTCTTTCCTTCCAGCACATACACTTACAAAAATACAAATTTTATTTGGTTCGCTGCCACAGCTCTGGCACACAGGCCAGCCTCTGCCCCATGCCACGTGTTCGGCAAATATTCAACACGTGGATCTACACCAGAGTAGGAGACAGTTATCTTGGCCTCTCTCGTGGGGTCTTGATCTGGTTCACTTCTTCCCCCATTTGTTCACCCAACAAATGTCTAGTTAGAAGCTTGATGTGCTGGTTCCCTGTCCCCACCCACATGGAACTTCCGTCCTAACAGGAGGGACAGGCAACAGGAAGATAAATAAATAGAAGAAATGACTCTGAGTCATGATTCGGGTGAAGAAGAAAATGAGACTCCCCGTGGGTACAGTGGTCAGAGGCCGCGCTCAGGACTGCCTGAGGAGGCAGCGGGGGCTGGGACAGGCGGGCAGGAGTCCACCAGAGGCAGGGAAGGCTGCCAGGCAGGGACGGCCTCCACCCAGCGGGGCCCCTAGTCTCAGAGTCCAGCTTCTGCCCATTCTGGCTGGTGACAACCCTCTCTGCAGCTCCCCATAGGAAGCAGCTCTTCCTGGCCCTCGGGGGACAGCCCTCAGTGGGTGTTGCTGGCCCTATGCTGAAGGGCTTCCTGTTCTCAGCACGAGAGAGGAGCTGGGGCAGAGGACCTGGGGGACAGAGGACCTGGGACAGAGGACCTGGGGAAGAGGACCTGGGGG